AAAAAAAAAAAAATACTGTCACTGAAACACACTGGTATTTAAATCAACCATGAGGAATCATAGTGTAAGCCAAATTAGACATATAGAATTCACCATGGAATTCACCATATAGGTTCCACCATGGAATTATAGGAACCTTTGATTTCTGTGAAGTTTCAGTGATGCCTCCTGGCTGGGCTGAGGACTGCACCCAGCCTATTAAGATAAATCTCCCTTTGTCGCTTTCTCTTGAAATTCTTTTCTTATTTATTTAATTATTTTACATTTTTGGACTCTTCAACATTCTGGAGACTCCGGTTCCCTACCAGTTTGATGTATTACATTACAGCCCTGAAGTATTTTTGTCTTTATAAAAAATAATAGGAAATACAAAGATTTTACTTGCAGATAGTTACCTGATTTGAGGTGACTGATATTTCAACTGCCCTTCTTTGATCATTATACATCGTACACATGTATCAGAATATCACATGTACCCCCAAATATGTACAACCATGATATAGCCATAAAAAATTCCATTCCTCTGTTTACACTGCCTCTGAATTTTAAGCAGAATATAACAGTGATCTGTTAAATGAAAAACATTGTTTGATTTATTAACTGACAATTCAGTTAGATCGTCTCTCAATTTTGTAAAAAGGAAAGAATCAGAAACTACTGATTTGAAATAAAGATTCATTACCAGTCTTTAGAGGATTGTAATTTAATTTCTGAGGCTACATACCCCAGAAGGGCATTAATAAAGCTTATATAACTATATCTTTTAATTTGCTTAGAGGTACATTATTTAGACCATTTTCTCAGGGTTGGGGAAGTAGAAATGTTGTTCATTTTAATCTATGAAAAAGTCTACTTTGTAATCTAATTAGCAAATCCAGTGTTCTCACTGCCAAACCAGTCACATCAGCTACACTTTGTGTCAAAAAGTCTGACTTCATTATATTCAATTCACATAGGTATGTAATGTATTTTTTTTTTTTTTTGAGACATGCTATGAAAATTACTAATAAATTACAGGACATCTCCTACAAAATAAATTAGGACAACAAAGAGCATGCTTAAAATATATAAATGAATATGTTTTTTTCCATCTCTATTATGTCTTGAAAATAAAAGGAAAGCTATAAAGTATTTCTTATTTATATTTTAATAATGGAATATAATGTGGTAACTAAAAATATTATTTTCAGAGTGAGAAATATAAGAAAATGCATAGCATTCCTTAAGACAACACATATATACTCACATAACTCTATTGTATGCTGGTATTTAGCCTCAGAGAATAATAAAAGGGACTCAAATATAAAATAGCAGAAATTACTTTCGTTCAGTTATTGAGAAGTCACGATCTATTTTTCCTTTGTATTTAGTGAAAGCGAAAGGCATCTATTGCTAAAAACTAATTTGCTTCTAAAGCTAGCATATAATTTTATTATTAATAGGACATTGAAGCATTTTAAACATATTATAAGATGAACTAAAATGAAAACTTGTATACATTGAATATTGGTTAAATTGGTTTTTAACTAGTTGCAATCTTTGGTTTTACCTAGTTTAATAATGCCTATCAGAAATAATTCATGTCAATTTTTTTGCTGTGGGTTTTCAGGCCTTGTCACTTGAAAAATGTGGTCTTGGAGAATATTCCGGTTGCATTTAAGAAAAATCATGTGTTGTTTGACTGATCAGAGATGTTCTTCTTTTCTGAACAATAAATTCTTATGAGAATTTTGAGACTGCTCTTTGCTTAATTCTGAGCTAACTCCTTCTATGTTAGTACATTCTTTTGCTATAATCTAATCTAGGGATGGATGAGGTGGATGAGCTGAGGTCATTAGCAGAAAATGTTCATCTCTTCCAGCGTTCACATGTTATAATACTTCTGATTTGGGAACATCTAGACCAAGGTCAAAAGACGGCATTTATGATGCCGTGCTTTGCTCCTAACAGAGACTTTTATACGCAAGGAATACACTATAAGCTTTGATGTAGTTTGTAGAGGCTTGGCTAATCATTATAAAAGCCTTCCTGAAAAGAATTTTTTTTTTAACATTCTTTTGGTACTCTGGAAGATTTTATTCCTCAGGGTGTGCAGAGAATATTATCGTATGATTTTGGGTGAGTGAAGAATAGGGTGTGTCTTTTATTTTTTATTTATTTATTTTGAGACAGAGTCTCACTTTGTCACCCTTGGTAGAGTGCCATGGTGTCATAGCTTGCAGCAACCTTAAACTCTTGGGCTCAAGTAGTTCTCTTGCTTCAGCCTCCCAAGTAGCTGGGACTACAGGCACCCGCCACAATGCCCAGCTGTTTTTAGAGACAAGGTCTCACTCTTGATCGGGCTGGTTCTCAAACTTGTGAGCTCAGGATAATCCACCTGCCTCAGCCTCCCAGAGTGCTGGGATTGCAGGCATGATCCACCACACATGGCCCGCTCTGTCTTCTATAAAGCAGGAGAAGGCTACTGTGAACAGGAAGTAGGTAGAGGGAGAGAAAACCTGCATGATGCTAGGACGCATCTTGCATTTCAACTGAGGACAAGAAAACTGATTTCCTTAAAATAGCAGAAGGCTTTCTGTGAATTCGTGGACTGCTCAGGGGAGGCATATTCCAGTTGCAAGATCACTCTGCCAGGACACTGACCTCTCTTTCATCTTCTTAGGTTCCAACAGTTTGCCACTGTAATTTCTCCATCTGCCTTATTTTTGTGGGTTTCTGTCTTATTAAGAAAACAAACAAACAACTTTCTGACAGGGTTTTGGAGCTAAGAGAGGTGTGATTTAGAAGCCATAGCCAAGAACATTTTCTTTTAAGTTTACCACTAACGTCTTAAACATGAATATTTGCAAACAATTTTCTTTCTTCACATCATAAATAACCCTTTCTTGGAATAAGCTAAAAATGAGATGTAAATATGCAGATAATAGAATTTCATAAGATTTATTTGATTGCAGAATTGCTTTCTGGAAAAGTTGAAGAAAGGGATCTTCTTAGTTGCTTTTAAGCAATAAACATCTTCATTCTGTTTTGTTTGGAATACCACAGCTGTTGTGTGAAATTATATACTTAGGTTGCAAAGTAGAATACGACTCAACTTTTTCTGAATTATAACTGGTTTTTAGATTTTTTTTTTTAAAAGGATAGTGGCAAATGCAATAGCATTCCAAGCTCGTAAAATCCAGTTTACATATCAGTGTAATCGGTTTTCATTTATTTATATGTGAAACAGGTGCTAAATTTGGAATTGTACCTGTTACAGATATCAAAATCAGCATGTTTTTCTGTTTCTACACAGCTGATTTCTCGAATTGAAGAAGGTGGTTTGGGAACTGAAGGCCTCTTACGAATACCTGGAGCCGCTGTGAGAATCAAGGTAACCTCTTGGTTCTACCCATGTACAATTGTTATTGTTTAATTCTACTTATGCATATTAAAAGCTAACTTGTCCTTGCTACCTTTTATTTGCATTGTTAGATAAGATAAAACAATCAAGTCTCTTAACATTCGGCTTATATTAGTTTTTCTACAGTGAATTCTAGGTTTGTTTTTTCTTTTTGTAAATTCTATTTTTTTCCAAAGTCCTCCTATTATCTGAAATAATATTATGATAAGAGAATAGGATGAGTCAAAATATTAATAGGGAGGCTGGTGATAGATTTATTCAGGATGAGTAATAACAATTAAGTTTTTTTTTTTTTTCTTCCTAAATCAGGAACATCAGCCGGCGAGCAGATTAGGTCCGGGTGGGGGTGGGGGCCTTGACAATAGCCCAGGGTAGTCTGGTGAAAGAAGTGAAGGGATTTCCAGACATCCCAGCAGGTGTCCCCCTGTCCTTGTCATCTCTGTCTGGATGGCCTTTCCTGCCACTACCCCAGGGCACCCGTATCCCCTTGTTTTCACTTTGTGTCCCAAGTCTTGCCCTGGAGAGTAAAGCTTCCAGTGAATGGTGATAAAGATGAAATTACTCTGAAGGGACACATATCACATTTGTCTCCCAGGGAATTTGCAATTTAAAGGGGGATTACACTTGGAATTGTCGTTGTATCTCGAAAATTTACCTAGAAAGAAAACGTTTTTGGTTAGCCATCATTATCTTTCTTAGTTGCAACACAGATACCTGTGCCCAATATAATGGCTTCCTGAATTTGAGAATCCAAGAGAAAGTAGGATAGCGGGAACCGTGCTCTCTGTTCATTTTCTTAGTATCTTTTCTATATTCAGAACGAAGTGCTTCTTGGGAGTGTACCCCGTCCTTGCCTGTCGCCAATGGACTGTGGTTGCGCCAGGATTTGGAATTATTCTCCTGATGTTCCACAGTTTGCATCTCCTGCTTATTTTGATTAGTGTTCTTAATTTGGGGCAATAGTTTTGGCCTCTGTGGCTCTTAGTTGATAGTGATCGCATTTTAAGAGGATTCTGGTAAACTGATATGCCCTGTTCACAAATTTCTGCTTGTGTCCCCTGGGTTTGGTGTCCGGCACACAGAGGTCCCCTAGATGGTGGTGGCATGTTTGTCAGCTGGATAACTTGCCCTTGTCCCACTTCATTTACTAACACCGATGACCTGTTCATCACCAATCGCAGACAGCATGTGTGAGATTCGGAGAGAAATTCTGTTGTCCCTCAGAAACACTTATTACCCACATCGGCAAGAAGAGTGCCGCTCTGTTCTAGTGGGAAGCCCTGGGTGCTCACTAGCAGGGTGCAGTGGCCGGCTCACAGGCGTGAACAGCACATTTACTTCAGGACAGAATAGTGACTATCACGCGGATTTTACTTTGTGATGAGAAGGCTGGCAGGAGGACAAGTTTAACTAAGTGTAATTTCTAAGAAGGCCAATTAAGTGGATTCAGCTGGCTCAACTCTTCAACCCAGCCTGTTGTCATATGCCAAATTATGCAGCAGCTGGTCCATTATAAATAATTTAAAAGATAACATGCAGAAATTTTAGTTGTCGCTTTTCTCCCCTGCCCCACCAAATTTCTTTGTACTCTACTCTCCATCCCTCCCCTTCTTTCTTCATCTCCCTCCGTTGTCCGTCCCTCCCTGCCTCTCTCTCCTCCCTGCCTCCCTGCCTGTCTTCCCTCCCCGTCCCCCTCTCCTTTCCCGCCCTTTCCCTGTCTCCCTTTGATTTCTCTCCTCTCCCTTTCTCCATCTCTCCATCATCTGGGCCTTTCTCCCTCCTTCTCTCCTTCTCCCTCTCTCTTTCCCCTTCTCTCCCCCATTCCCCATTTCTAGGTCCACCTTCATGTAATTTACCAATTTCAGGAATAATTGGCATAAGAAAACGTGATAATCCACCTTATAAGGGAAAACGAAGAACCTTCTTTGCATGAATAGTTTCACATGTTAGAAGGAAGTGACAGAAACTTGGAAGGCTTTCTAGCTGGATAGAATTTATGTATGTCCCAGTCAGAAGCATACAGGAAATCGTAATTATGAAACAAAATTGATTTATTAGTAATAATTTGTCGGACAAATTTTGTGGAGTCCTTGAGCTAAATGAACTAGGTATTTCTAATTCAATGTAGACTCAGACTGTTTTCTGCAGCAGCGGCAGCAGGCTGTGTGGGGGGGGACGGGGATATTGATGCATCTTCATGCCTCATTTGCTACAGAATTGGGTTTTCCATTTCCCAGAGGTGACTGATCAGAGAGGTAGCTTTCTGGTTTTGGTCCAGAGATTGATTATGGATTTTGTTACATAATAAACTCTTAAAGAATTTAAAACGTAGGCTTATTTTTTATATGATTTTTTTTCTGAATTTAATGAAGATTTGTAGTATCTAGGTGAAGCCCCCAAAGGAGAAGATTATTTTAAGCAACCTCTTAATTAAACCTTTACTGCTAAAGGTTTGTAAAGTGTCCAGGGAAAAACGTGTAAATAAAAAAAAAAAAAAGTTTGGTCTCCTGGTATAATTTTGCATTTTGTATTGGTAAAACAGAATCGGGGTTGGGGAGTTGCTTCTTCTTAGTCACAGGGAGGTATTGACCTTTGGGACTTTGATATGTCTTTGCTAAAAAGTAGAATCTCTTATAAAGTGGAAAATGTATCACACTCTCCGCGCGAAAGAAAACGCACTTACTGATGGTTTTTGTTGTTGTTGCCTGTGCTTGTCAGAATCTTTGCCAAGAACTAGAAGCGAAGTTTTACGAAGGGACTTTTAATTGGGAAAGTGTCAAGCAGCACGACGCAGCCAGCCTGCTGAAGCTCTTCATCCGGGAGCTGCCCCAGCCTCTGCTCAGCGTGGAGTATCTCAAAGCCTTCCAGGCTGTCCAGAGTAAGTGCTACTCCTCTTTGAAGCAGTCTTTGAGCTGGTGCCATTCTTATTAATTGTTTTAATGTTCATCGGTCCCATGAAGAGTGTAGCCAGATGCACCTGGGTAGACATATCAACTTGATGATGTCGGTTGGTGCTCAGATGCCATGCCCTGTCTTTTTTTTTCTTATAAATACGCATCTCTGAGTAAACAGATAACACAATGTTCTCTTCAGGTACAGATTCGTTGCATAGCATTTAAGAAACACAATGTATTTTAGTGTTAAAACCTGAAACTTCCTATTTCTCTTACAGTAGAATGAGTCACTTAAGATCTCTGAGACAATTTCCTTGCCAAGTGTTAAAAGCAACCCTTACTGGAGAAGCTGTGAATTAAGAGTTATCATAAAAGCACAAGGAGACGTGGTGGAGTCTGTGAGCATTTTCTGAAAAATTAAATTCTGAGATTGTCATGCAGAAACATGGGACAAAGCCCACTGCTGCCTCACTGGTGGCGGTCACCAACTCCTCCTATGTCTTGCCATTCTGTGGTCTTGGGAAATCTCTAGATTAATGTCTGTAATTATTCTTGATTCTTTTCCCAGGGAACACAGAAGTCTTATAAGGTTTATATACTGGTATACTTATCCCTTTTTCTCCTAGAAGTCATCAAAAAAGTACAATGCCGTCACCACCTTCAAGTAACCATATCTTTAACTGCCCGACTGGGACGCTTTTGAGAGTAAAAGAGGAGCTGTTATATAATTATGGTGAACTACAGTGTCAGCCAGAACTGTTCCAGGCTATCAGAAAGCATGCAGTCTTGAGATGATTTCATGAGTCATCTAGTATTATCACATTTCTACAGAATTTCTAAGAGAGATATGGCTGAAATCGTCTTCTGTTTAAACTGTATTTTTTAAAAAGGAAATAATCTTTAAAAATTTTTTTGGATAGTTAAATTGTGCTTGTTTGTGTAATTTCTTGCCTATAGATTAAAGGACAAGTTTATCGTGCAAAATGAAATACGGGAATGATTCCACATAGCCACAAATGTCATTGAAATGGGACAAGGGCTACTAAAAATAACAGCATTAGTGATCACAATGTACTTCTTAGACACCTTTTAATTTGCTGCTTCATATTGTAATGTATTCCAGGAACATTTATCCAACACCTATTGTATTCCAGGCCCCATTTTACGCGTTCCTGGTGGAATTAATGGACTCTTCCCTTGTCATTTTTTTTCACCCACCATTAAAAGAAAGAAACTTGATTGTTACAGATGCCCTGTGACACCACAACATGGAAGGTCCAATCTTTCGTATCTTTTCACTGGGGAATAACTAGCACACAAAAGTTAAAATTCTTTCCAGAGCGCTGTGGTGTGTCTGCGCACATAAGGCTGCCCGTCCGTCCTCCGAGCAGAGTTGGAAGTGAGCATTGGGAGGGAGCGGGAGCTCTCGGCAGCTGCTTCTGCAGACCCCAAAACACGGCCGCCACCAGGCTTCTCGCTCAGTCGTCCCGTCTTACATTTTATAGTAATCTTTATGCCAAATAACGTCTCTCTTAAAAGAAGGTAAAGGGAAGTGTTCAGTAAAGAGTTCAGAGTTATTTCATCTGTCTGCAGGTCTTCCAACCAAGAAGCAACAATTGCAGGCTCTGAACCTTCTTGTCATCCTCCTGCCCGATGTAAACAGGGACACGCTGAAGGTCAGCTCCGTTCATTTACATTAAATATCCCGAGAACCAAGCAGAGTGATTTTTCTCTGTTTGTGGCAAAACAATATGATGTTTATTTTGGAAATGTTAATAAAAGTCTGTAAAGAAAAAGCTCTTAAGGACAGAGGGTGAGAGCAAGTTTTTAACTCCTTATTTCTTTTTTAAATTTGTTTTTTTATTAGATCATAATTGTTTACATTAATTCTCTCATAGGATACAGTGTGTTGCTTCTATATGCAGTTTGGAAAACTCTCATCCAAGTGGCTAACATAGCCATCATGTCTTTCTCATAATTGTTGTGTTAAGACATTTATATTCAACCTTTAGACAAATTCACCCAAATAGGATAAATTATAGGCGTGATCCCCACAATATCATTCTCTTCACCCATCTCCTTATTGTTGACTGTTGTTACTTTATTAATATTACTGGGTTTTGTTTTTCTGTTTTTTGAAAAAATTTTTTTTTAATTTTTTTTGCAGTTTTTGGCTGGGGCTAGGTTTGAACCCACCACCTCTGGCATATGGGGCCAGCGCCCTACTCCTTTGAGTCACAGGTGCCACCCATATTTTTAAAATTTTTATTACATCTAGAACATTTCTTCTTCCAAAGCAGATATTTGAGATTTGCTGGTTAATGGAAATACAGTTGCTTTTCAATTTTCTTCTTCTTTTTTTTCTGCATGTTCCAAATTTCATTTAATTAACATATATTAGGAAAGTGAAATATCCATAATATCCATATTAAAAATCCTAAGGCTTATTAATTATAACCCACTGCTGCCTGAGGATACTACAGTTGGTTGTGGTTCAAAGTGGTAGAGTTTGAAATAAATCAGACTGGTGATTTGAGATGTTTGTTGGCCAAAAGTTAAACCAACTCAAACAAATTTCAGATATTTCTCTTTTAGGCTTATTCTGAGTTTCTGATTCTTATCATCATTTTGGAGTTATTTGGTCTAATGTTTATATGATTTAATTCTCTTTATTATAGGTATTATCAGAGACTCATAATTTGTGGATTGTTCCATGTTCATCTATTTTTCTCAATGGCAGGAGTTTATAGACTAGTTGTAAAGGTTTAATGATAAACTTTTATAAAAGGAGAAGGGAAAAGTTAATATATAATTTAGAAAAAGTATTTATCTTATGCTTTATTGCCTTAAAACTATTTTTTTTTTGTTACATAGGTAGGGTGGGGCCATTGCTCTATACCACCTGCATTTCTTCCTATTTAAAATAAAATCTCATGATTCAGTGCCCATAGCACAGTGGTTACAGCACCAGCCACATACACCAAGGGTGGCGGGCTCGAACCTAGCCCTGGCCAGCTAAACAATACTGACAACTGTAACAAAAAGTAGCTGGACATTGTGGCGCGCACCTGTAATCTCAGCTACTTGGGAGGCTAAGGCAAGAGAATCACTTGACCCCAAGAGTTTGAGGTTGCTGTGAGCTGCAATGCCACAGCACTCTACTGAAGGCAACATAGTGAGACTCTGTCTCAAAAGAAAAAAAAAAGATAAAATCTGATGATAAGAATTTCAGGTCGAGAAAACAAAGCCACCAGTGGGTAAATCTTGGAAATTTTTTCCTGCAACTCATTAAAACTCTTTGAATTGTAACTATGTGAGTGGTAGTTCTTAATGTTGATGGAATGAATATTAATACTCAATATTCATTGAACTTTCCTGGATGAAGCAGCTTATGATGTGGATGTGGGCAAAGCACTACATCCACTCCAGGAGAACTTCCAAAGAGTTATTCTCTTAACTAAGTCAGAGACAAATCTTTGGCTTCACTGATTATCAAATGAATAACCCAGAAGGCAGCATTATCCTTTGTTTTGATTTGTCTTTGAGACAAAGGCCAAGTCCAGAAAGGGTTACAGTCGAACAGTGTGTGACGCTGTGTAAGGTTATATAGAGTGTGACTGAACCAGGGACATTGGCCCAGGACAAAGTGGGTCTGGTTATCCAACTGTTCTCTGCTTGCCAGCCATGCCCTTGACCTGAGGTTTCAAGTACCCAGAAAGAGGAAGGAACATCTTTTTCCTTACTCACGTAAAGGCTCCTTTTTGGGTGATAGCCCTGTACAGTAGAAGGTGATAATTGAAAGACACATATAATTTACTTAAAATAAACCTGTACTCAAGTGAGTCCACATAGTCCTGTAGGAAACACGTGTTTCAGTGTGGTTGCCATTGGACCAAGCTGGTCTAGAACTCTTCTTTGAACTTTGCCTCCAAAGTTCCAGGCATGCTCTTTAAAAAAACTGTCTAAAAATCGATTTTTTAAAATTTTAGAGTAGTTTGTTTGTTTTTTGTTTTTGTATATGTACTGGAAGCATAATGTTATAATTAAGGAGGAAAATACTTTTTGGAGGGGTCAAAAATTTGGAAATGTAAACAAGTAATCTTACTTATTGACTTAAGCTTTAGCGACTTAATTAGCCTGCTCGGATGAAGGTCTCAAGCAAGAATTTTAATAACAAACATTGTAATAAAAACACCATATATGCAAAGAAAAACCATAAAATTAACCATATAAACCATAAAATTACTTCTGTAAAGGAGAAGGGAAACTCCACGGTAATATAATTTCAGGAAGCCTAACGCAAATTTCCCCAAACTATCCAGTGCTAGCACCACTCCTTCAGCTGTTATTTGTGGGGACAGAATTGTATGCATGACTTGTGCGGAATATTTCTATGGAAAGCCTATGTAAGATTTAGGAGGCTCCATGAAAATACACATCCTGGCCTAAGGGTAGAGTGACAGGTATCTTCAGGCAAGCTGCTTAACCAGAATTATTTTTTACTTTGGATTATTTTACATTTGGATCTATCATGGTACCTACCTTTGACTTGGAGAAATAATGAAGACTGATTTTAAGATCTCAAGAGGGGATCCATGCTAATATAATTATTGACGTTTATCCTTTAGAGTTTTAAGTAGACGTTTTAATAGTTTTTTACAGTTTTAAGTAGTATACATTGTCTCAAAACTTGCAGGCTAGGAGATTAGTAGACCCATTGTACAAATGAGTAAACTTTTGAAAGAACAGAGGTATGAAAAGGTTTACCCAAAGATCACACGTAGCTAATAAGTAACTGACTATGCTGGGAGTCACTCCCAGGTTTTCCAGTGGGCCCAGTGATATTTCTACAACACCAGGCTGGTAATAAAGTAAATATGGGTAATTTTTTTTTAAAAGGAGAAGTTCTTATAGTTCAAAAAGAAAGTAGTACAGTTTTTCAGCTGGGGCTGGGCTAACATCTTGTTAATCTCACGTCACCACTCTTTCTCTTTCTCTAATAGCCTGATGGTAATATTTTGAATAACCTTATTGCATATGCATACCACAATTAAAATGGTTTATTACCTAATCTCTGTAATTTATGCTCATAAAGCAGGAGATACACTGGTCCCCGAACAATTATTCTGGTCTCTGTGGAACAAAATTAAATATTTTTTCAAACTTCACCAATTAATCTTTGGTCCTCATTTGAGAACACGTTGTTTTCATCTAACTTTATGCTTGGATTACAATTTAACTTCCCAAGCACTGTACTGGAAATTAGATACATAAATCTCATTGTTAGATATTAAGGCTCTGTCTTTAGTTTGTTTCAAATTTCCGAGCTCTCTCCACGTAGCGCAGTGTTGAGCAGCTAAACTTGATTCACGATCGACCTGCTAGCACTTAGGAATTTTCTTTTTTCTGAAATTCTCTGAAAAATAGATGCTGTTAGACTTTTTTTTTTTTTTTTTATCTTTTCTATTTTAGGGTAGTATATTAGCCTTTTCTTCAGGTGGGCTATTTTAAAGAAGAAAACATGGTTATTGTAGTAATTAAGAATTTAGAAACAAAAGCCGGATAGACCTGAAGCTAAGTTCTCGTCTCACTATTTGCTACGTACCTTCTCTAAAACGTTGTTTTCTCCTCTATAAAATGGGTGTAATTGTCGTGTGTGTCTCCAGTATGGATTCAGTGAGATGCTCTCTGGTGCTTGATACACTGCCTCACCCAGAGGGAACACTGAATACCTCTGAAGTTTCTGGTATGTTCTAGACCTAAGTAAGAAGGCAGAAGGAGAACGGAAAGCCTCCAGCTCTTTTCAGATGTAGGTGCTCTGAGCTGCCTATGGCTTTTTTGGAGGCCGGCCTCAGAGGTTGATCTGTCATAGGGATGGAAGCAGGTGGCATCTATCGAGCTGAACATAAGTGAGTTCCTTTTCCTTCATTACTTCACTCTTTTTTTTTTTTTTTTTTTTTTTTGCAGTTTTTGGCCAGGGCTGGGTTTGAACCTGCCACCTCCAGCCTATGGGGCTGGCACCCTATTCCTTTGAGCCACAGGTGCTGCCTCGTACCTCACTCATTTTTCAGAAAGCACTTTCTCTTCCTCTATCACGGTATTCATTATATATATTTTTGATTTGTTATGTTTTGTAGAGATGGGAGTCTCCAAGTTGATCTCGAACTCCTGGGCTCAAGCAGTCCTCCTGCCTCAGCCTCCTGAGTCCCTGGGACTACAGGGGCATGTGATTGCACCAGAATTATTCTTTTTAGGTTCCAGGTCAAGGTCTTAAAGCAAACGAAATGGAGGTTGAATGAGGCTTTGAAAGGAATTCTTTTTTTTTTTTTTTTTTTAACTTTTTAGAGAAAAGTACCGCACTTTGTGAAAAGTAAAGTACTTCCTGAGAAAAGAACATACGTTTTATGCCTTTCGGTGCTCTGTGGCTTCTGAAGGCCAGAGGTCCAAGACTTCTCCACTCTCTGCCCCCCACCTAGTTCAGACGGGCCCCCTCTCTGCTTGGTGCCCCAGTGCCATGGTCCCTAGGTGAAGCCAAGCACTGTCTCAGAGTGCACCAACCAAATGGGGAAACTTTGATGACAGGTCCCGTTGGATGTGGCTAGCCAACTGTGGTCACGCACAACTTATTTTTTTTTAATGGAATAAAAATTCTGTGTGCTACAGGGCTTTAAGCTCTTATCTTCATGTCCAACACCAATCTCAAAGAGTCATTTCTCTTTTAGGCCCTGCTTGAATTTCTCCAAAGAGTAATAGATAATAAAGAGAAGAATAAAATGACCGTCATGAACGTAGCAATGGTCATGGCCCCGAATCTCTTTATGTGTCATGCGTTTGGTTTGAAGTCCAGTGAACAGCGAGAATTTGTAATGGCCGCTGGAACAGCAAATACTATGCACTTACTGATTAAGAATCAAAAACTCCTGTGGACAGTAAGTATCTATTTTGAAGCTCCATTAATGATCCTGTAATTTGCTAGCATAATTGTTTGTGCTGATTTGGACCATACTTTTATAAAGCTGATAGAAAAATGTAATATGCTTTTTTTCCTCAGTGCTTTAAAAAACACACTGTATCTCTGTTACCGGTTTTATTAAATTACGTTGAAAATTTGTAAGTGCAGAAAATGTTAAGGGTGTTTTATTCATGTAGGTGAGGCAGGGCCCGCTGATTTCTATTTTTAAATCACGAAATCATGGCAAGAAAACGTGCCTGTAAGGAGTACTTCTTATTTGTGATACTTCAGTCCAGTTCATCTTTTCCCAAATATTTAGGTCTGTTGTCTTTTTAAAAGCTCGTGCAATCTTGGCTTCAGATCATTCTCGATTATTTTTCACTGGCTCTTTATTTAAAGAGATACATACATTTTGTATCCTAATGGCTGATAAGGGTTTCTTCTGTTTTACCCTGACTTCAAGCTTGAGTTCTGACAGATAATCAGAACGTGGTGGTGGACCAGAGGCTTAGTTGATTACGTTTTCATTTTCTGGTGAAATTTATAATTTTGCAAAGATTTAAAGAAATTCCAAGCAAAATGATAACATTAACTATCTCAATCTCTTTATTCGAGGAACCTCCACATGTTGGTGTGTTAAGAAGAACAATGACATCTGGATTGTGATGTCTTTATTTTTATATCCTGTATGAAGGCAACGAATGTAGATGATTTCAGAGGCATTTTTAAAAGATTCATATCATTTGATGAAATCTCTATTTTTGAAATGCCAACTTATTGCCTGGTTACATTTTGGCAACTTAAAACATTTTGCTATTGCTGATTCTTAGGCTAAATTTTTCCTGGCTTTTTGCCTACTTACCTGTTAGCTCTTATTTCTTGGGGAGTGGCTCTTCCTTTTCTGATAGCAGAGTCTAGCTGGTTACTAGGAAGGGATTGCAGGTTAGCTAGGAGGGCTGGAGAATAGGTGGCCGCAAAAGGAAAGACCTTCCCAGGTGGCGGCCTCTACCACCAGTCGCCTCAGGGGGTCTCTGGTCTGGACGAGCCTGGTGTGGAAGATGGTCATTATGTCCTTGAACCTCACAAAGCCTCTTTTGGAATCAGGCACAATGGGTGGTAAATCACATCACGTGGCCGCTCGGTACACCTGCTAAATGAATAATATGATGTTCTTTCTTTTCACGGATTTAATGAACAGTGCATGTAAAATGGCAGTCTTATCAAAAAGACAAACCCTTTCCTATTCCTCCCGAAATTTCAGATAATAAAGATGATTATTTCTGTAGTTTAAAATGATTCCATTTCTTTCCCCTAACCCCAAACTGAATTTTTTTTTTCTGTGTAGATTCCCAAGTTTATTGTCAACCAAGTGCGGAAACAAAACACTGAAAATCACAAAAAGGATAAAAAAGCCATGAAGAAACTGCTGAAGAAAATGGCTTATGACCGAGAAAAATATGAGAAGCAAGATAAGAATGCAAATGATGTAAGAAATATGTATTTATTTAGACTTCAGTATTTTTTTAATACCAAAAAATTACGCTGTATATGTTTTATAGTGTGACTTTGCACCACTTTCTAGGCTGGGGTACCACTTGTAAGTGAAAGGCATAGTATTAACTGTGTAATCTACGTAGAACTACTGCTAGTGATCGGTATTAACTGTTGTTAGGTATTGGTGACTTGGTGTGTGATTTGTTAATGGGGAACAAAGGAAGGTAACGAGACAAAACTGAACACACATACGACTTCTGGAGAGACTGTAGCTGCCCACTGAATGTTTAGTGTATAGTGAGGAAAAGATCCCTCTTATATGAACCACTGATCTTTTGTCTTAAAATTTCTCAGCTATAAAATGGGCAAAAAATAACCCCAACGCACAAATAGGCTAACGGTTAAGTGTGCCTAAGATCATTTGGAAGTTCTTAATTTGATTAGAAGATGAAAACAGGAGACTTATGTTACAAAAGGGACAATTAAGATGTTTGAAAAAAGAAATATCCATATATCAGCATTTACAAACTACCCTAAGAATATATTAAGAACTAGGTTTACAATAATGAGATACACGTGGACATACATTTCTGAAGTGAGTTACTAAAGCGTAAGATCATGAAATGAAAGGGTTTCTATTGTTCTGTTTAAGTGAACATTACACCCCCTCCCCACTGCCTCTGTTGAAGTTGTCCAGTTACATACTGACATCTTGTGGAATAACGTGAAAATGCAATTATCTGCCTTTGTCTGATTTTTCTGCTTTGCCTTGCTTAGGGATCCAATAATCATAAAAACAAATTTTTTTCCTCCTAAATTTATTTATAGTTTTCATTATTAAAAATATTTATTTTTAAAAATTAATTTTAAAATATCTGAAACGTTAAATGTAATAAAGGGGAATTATAAATAGTGTTTATATTTTCTGAGATGGGGCTTAATATTATCATAGGCTAAAAAGGATTTTTTCCAAGATTTTTTAAAATTGACATTAGAATGTTCTATTACCTTTTAAACCCTTTTTTATATGTGAATATCTTCTGTTTTGTAGCCCTTCTTATTCAGATTAACTTGTGACCTTATAGCCTTGTCTTTTTTTTTTTTTTTTTGGTAATTTTTGGCTGGGGCTGGGTTTGAACCCACCACCTCAGGCATATGAGGCTGGTGCCCCACTCCTTTGAACCACAGGCGCCTCTGCCTTATCTTTTTTTTATAAGCCATTTAGCCATGACACTCTGAAGGTCAGTATCTACTCAAAGTGAAATTTGTAATATAATTGTTTATTAATAAATATTTAGACAAAAATTTAAAAGGTTCCCTTTTGGAGATAGAACAGTTAAGTAATTTTGCCATTTATCAAAAAACAGCATGAACTTGGATTTCCTTAATTTGTACTTTGGCTTAATTAGGTGTAAGTGGGTCTGAGAATTCTTTCTGCGCTATTTAAAAGTTGAAGTACCATTGTAAGGCTTGGGGTTTTATCACAGTTTTATCATGTATTGCCTGTAACTTCACCTGTCTGAGTTTTGTTTTTCTCTCCTGTGAAATTCAGTTATTCATTTAACAAACTGCTGCTGCCTCCTTAGTGCCAGGCCCGCACTGTGATCAGTCTTCAGAGGGTGCGGGGAGGGGGTGGTCACCCTCAGGAGCCAGGAGAGGGACCAGGTGAGGGCGTAGCTTAGAGATGACAGAGGTTCATGACCGCAACCTGGCCTGGGTCCTATGGGCTACAACACAGCAAGGGGACATCAGAGATGCTTCCCTGGGAAGTTGAACTAGGAACCAGAACCACGTCTGTCTTATTCAGGAATCGCTGTAGAAGAGGGAGCTCTAACTTCACTTGCAGTGAAAGCTTTTTGATACAGCCCACAGTAGAGGTCCACTTGGCCTGTCATTTTATTTGAAAATTTGTAATCGATTTCTTGAATTTTTGTTTTCAAGTTTGTATCATTTTGTGAGAGAATAAATATACGCAAAAGAAGATTTACAGAACAACAGATGAGAGTTCAAGATAAGTTTGAGTACTGTGGAGATGTGGTAGGAATCAATTTTTGCCTGTTGTTTCCATCTGGCAACTGCCAGCATTCAACAACTAAAAGATTTAAAGTAAAAGTTTGGACCACCATCATGAATGATAAATGGAGGTAGAGGCATCCCTCCCCTCCTGGCAGTACAAGACTGATTTCCAGTGGGGCGACAGTTGTGTGGGTTTGAGTGGCAGCTGCTCCCTGTGGCTGGAGCACGGGCTTCTACTTTGCTGGAAGCCATGTCCCCTCCTTCCTCTGCCTTGTTGCTGTACTTCCTTAACTCTTCCCACAAATCACTTGAATATGCAGCATGAAACTATAAGGCATGAAACTGCCTGGGGTATTTGATTCACTTGGTAAGCAATTACTTGACGTGTGTCTGCTGTGTGCCAGGCATTGTTCCGAGGCAGTGGAAGTACTGTGTTCAGGCTCAGTGCCTGTAGCTCAGCGGGTAGGGCACCAGCCATGTACACTGCAGCTGGCGGGTTCAAACCCAGTCCGGGCCTGCCAAACAACAATGACAACTACAACCAAAAAATAGCCAGGCATTGTGGTGGGTGCCTGTAGTTCCAGCTACTTGGGAGGCTGAGGCAGGAGGATCGCTTAAGCCCAGGAGTTGGAGGTTGCTGTGAGCTGTGCCACCACAGCATTCTCCATAGACAAGGGTGACATAATGAGACTCTGTCTCAAAAAAAAAAAAAAGGAAATACTATGTTATTAAAACATATAAAGATCACTATTCTAGAGCTTAAATTCTACCAGTGAAAATAAACCCAGGGAGTAAATTACATAGTGTATTAGTGTTTGGCCAGTGCTCCCACAGTAATAAAAACGGCAAAAACAGGGCGTTGAGGGGGGAGCCTCTTGCTCTGTGTAGTTGTGTAATCTGGGTATCCTGCTTCCCAGCAGAGATATTACAAAGATAATATGAAGGAAGGCAGGGAGGTGAGCTGTGTGTGTATCCCAGGAAGCTCATTCCAGGCAGAAAGAATAGTGTGTGCAAAGTCACAAGGCAGGAACTCGGCGCAGGGCATCAGAGGACCAGCGAGGCGTGTGTGAGGCTGGACGGAAGCCATGAAGGGCAGGTAGTGTGCGAGGAGGTCAGAGGTGCGGGGGGACCACATCCCATACTGCCTTGTAGACCATCTTTGGGAATTTAGATTTTACCCTGAGTGACATGGGAGTTGGGAACAAAGGTTTGAAAATCTATACCGTGTTTTTAAAAGATCTCTTGGGCTGCTGTGTTGAGAATAGACCACAGGGAGCAGAGGTAGAATTAGGGAGACCCTTTCGGAGGTCGTTAGAATGCAGGTGAGAGATGACAGTGGCTAAGACCAGGATATCAGCCTTGGAAGTAGAGAAGTGGTTCTGGGTGTATTTTTGAAGTTTGAGCCATTGGGATTTCTTGATGGAAATGGTGTGAGATGTAAGAGAAATAAAGAAGTAACTCGAGGGGTTTGGGCCTGAGAAATTGGAAGGATGCAATGCTAGATGGGGAAGGCCATGACTTCAGCGAGTGTTAGTGTGAGACGTCTGTTACACATGCAAGTGGGGATATTTGAAGATGTCTGAAGGGAAGTTCAGGTGGTCCTGACTGGCCAGTGAGGTATGTGGAGAGACGAGGTGGACGGGAAGCAGGAATGTGGCTGAAGACGAAGCTCCCGTCCTGTGTGTGGCAGAGAACTGCTGTGAGTCCAGGAGTTGCATGTTTATTTGCATTGTAGAAAGGTCACCGTGGAGATAGATGAAGGTGAGACTGGAGGAATGTCAGATAGGAGGTCAGGTGGAGATACTGGGTCCTTTCACTGTTGACGGGGTTGATAAATTGGAAGCATCCCTCCAGAGAACAGTTGGCATGTGGGAGAGGCCTGAAAACCAGGCTCCTCATTGGACTAAGAAATTCATTCAAAGGGAATAAGATAAGCATGTCCATATTTATGGTTAAGATCATTGCCATTGTCTTTATACCGGCCAAAATTAGAAAAAGTCCAAAAGAATAGAGGTGGCCAGTTGGATATGTTATGGCATATCTATACGGGGAAATATCACGACAACATATGACATATATTGACACCAAAAAATATCCATAATATAATACTATGTGAACAAGAAGTTGCAAATCAGAAACAGTATATTGCTTTATTTGTAAGGGGTAATAATAATTATGACTTTTTAAAATGCTTTTCAGAAGTCAGGCAGGCATGATGCTAAACATTTTATAATCATTATCTCCTTTAATATTCATGATGGTCTAGCTGGAGTGTATTATTGTCTAATTATTTTTCAGATGAGAAAAGTGGGAATTAATCTTAAGATTATCTGGATAGGAACCGATAGACCTTTGAAACAAAGTCTATATGACTTTAAACTCAGGGGCTCTTTACCATTTTCTTCTATTTCCTCATAGATCACAAAAATACCTCTAAAAAGGATAGATACCCAAACCCTGGGTTAACAGGGGGCGATGCAATGAACACAGATTGCTGCTGTTATGAATGTGTTATATATGTGTGTATATATGGCCCAGAGCCATGGTCCATGTTGGGGATGGAAAGACCTTTAGAACATGTGAGCCAGCAGGACCCACAGGATGTGGACACTGATAGGATGTGAGGAATGCAGGAGAAGGAGGAACCTGGAAGGACTTGAGCTTGGATGGCTTTATCATCAAGATAAACCACAAAGCAAAAGGAACAGACTTGAAATAAGAGAGGCAGTTTTCGACATTGGGAGTCGACATGCCCGTGTGAGAGTTGGCTGCTTTGTCTGGAAGCTCAAGGAGCAGCCGGAGTTGGAGGTCTGCTCTTGGGATTAGCATGGAGATTGGAGATGAAGGCAGAGAGTGGTTGGTATTTACCCCAAGTAGGTCTATATGGAGTGAGAATATAAAAAAGGAAAAGACAGATCTTTGGGGATGCCCATGCTTAAGTAGTGGGCCGTTGAAGAGGCTGAGAAATAATAGAAT